GAGGTAATTTTTTTCTCAATTCTTGAAAAATTTCTAATATACCGAACTTTTTAAGGAGCTGGTCGAAAGAATCCTCAATTCAATCATAAATTATGGAACGTTTATGATCGTGTCGTCGCTATGATACCTCGATCCAATAATTCGGTAGAAGGCTGGCACAATGCATTTGCTAACCGTGTTGCATTAAATCATCCAAATATTGTGAAATTGGCGGAGAAAATTCGTCGTGAACAATCAAAATTTGAAGTGGACATGGCGAAGATTCTTCAAGGTCACAATATTAAGACGAAAAAGGCCTGCTACCGAAAATTGGATGAACGTATTAATCGACTGGTCAATGGATTCGACGCATCCCAACTGGATGAATTCTTAAAAAATATGGCAGCCAATGTTACTCTTTAGGTATTTTTTTTCTTTAAATTACTTTCTTTCTTTAGATTTTTTTTTCTTTAGATTATTTTCTTTTTGGTTTTTCTTTCTTTTTTGGTTTTTCTTTTTTTTTTGTTTTGAATTTGTTCATCATTATTTTTTGTATTCTGTGCAAAATAAATATGAGCAAACTCATCAATTTTACATCTTTCATTTAAAAAAAAATAATTAAGAGATATATGCAACGAATGGATAGTGATGAGCATAGGGAAAGAACTTTTTCTGCGACGAACAGAACGAAAGAAATTTATCTGCGACGAACAGAAAGAAAAAATTCTGCGACGAAGTGATCGGTCACCGGTTTTATGGTTAAAAACAAAAGCAATGATGTAAGAAATTATTTTAAATAAAATTCTATTCTTATTTTTTTTCAAAGAAAACACAATTCTTTGATTACAAAAAAAATGATGCTGGTGGAATACATATTGATTATATCAAACAGAATGTAATTGAAACATGTTTGTTTTATGAGAAAGATGATAAATTTTACATCGTAAACGACGTAAGAAGAAAATTTAGACAGACGTCATTTTTACTTTTAAACAATTTAGAGTTTTAATCATCAACAAATTGAATTAAGTATTAATGAATTTTTGGATTCAGAGAAGTATGTTTGGAAAAATATTTTTGTTTTCTCAACTCGATTTTTTTTCAGGCGATTCGTGCATTTACAATCACTGATCGGTCGAATAGAATTACAAGTCAATGCTCTTATTCGAGCAATAAATGAAGAAGGGCGTCCATCAAATACAGCTGGTAGTGGTCCAGGTGGAAATGCTATCGTTAAAAAACAATAGGTTTCATACTGATTCTTTTCAAAAAAATGCAGTGATTTTTAAAGTTCATTTTAAATAAGAACTAATAAAAAGACAAGAATTGTTTCAGCACATGCTAAAAGACAATAAGCATTATCACTTATAGCAGTTTTTAAATCTTTTTCATATCTAATGAAGTTAAGATTTATGAAATAACTTATTTAATTAATTTTCAATTTTTTTGTTTTGTGAAAGAAATATTTCAATAGCAAATAATATTTGCATTTCAAAATTTTGATCAGATTTGTAATGTTCAATAATTGACACTTTACTCATCAGATATTCATTTTTCATGTCTAATTAACATTCATTTCAAGCTTTTAAATAACATCAAATAATCATAATTACATGATGATTGATGTTTGTTCTATAGTGCATCTAAACTTGATGTTAATATAAACTTTATTTAAATGTTGTACTTTGATATATTGAGGATTATCAACATCATTTGTATTAGATTGATCTTTGAAAAGTTTAACTCATTTTTTAAATGATTTAGGGATATGAACATGTTCACGAGGTTCAATTAAATTTTTCGATGATATATCGTATGAAATTGACGATGTATTTATTATTTTATCTTAACGAAAACTTTTACGTTGAGAATTAACTCGAAGAGTTTTAGTAAATTAACAAAGATACAATCGACGCATTAGAAAACCAATTATCTTATGTACTTTCATTTTCTCAGTTAGATTCAAAGGTTCGATTATTAATAAAATCAACATTAATTAATACAAAAAAAAACACTTGAAATAATAAATCAATTTTCTTTGCACTTTATATGGCAGAAAGTCATACTGTTGATGGAATTTTTATAACTATGAAAATGCAATTAAGTGAAACTTTAATCGATTACATATATTTTATTACCTTGTTTTTTGTATGAGTACAAGTAGTGTCGCTATATGTTACATATTTATCAGCCGAAAATGATCCTTATCAAAAATTAGGGTGTGGGTGTGGGTGTGGATGCAAGAGCGAGTGTGTGGATGCTGGTGTTCTTGAAAATGTAACCCATATACCCATTCATACCACACACCCTCAACTATTCTGTATTCTTTGTGTGATATTACTTTCCTGTTTGTATCATAATAAATAAAATGGAACAAATCTTCTGAATGTCGTATGATTCAACTAAAGCGCTCAAGGACAATAATGTTTACAAATGATTCATATTGTAAACTGACGAACTTGGTAAAAATATGAATTATTGACATACGTCGTGGGCGCAACCAGCTGCTTTGCGTCCTGAAATGAATAAGAAACAGTAAAGTGATTTCATTCGATTATTTAGTCAATTTTTCCAACAAGAACGAAAAAAGCACAAAAACAGTACGTAAACTCACACGTGATTCTTATTATAATAGAAGGTCAAAATCTACTTCCTTTTTCAATTCGGGAAGAAGATACCGGTACTGAACCAGTTAGAATCTAATTCTCATTAGCTTCGGATCTATTTTTCAAAGTTAAAAACTTTTGGATCAATTATGTCATTGAAATATTGGCAAGTTGGATTCAGCAACGATAATAATACAATTGCCGACTTAGATGAGATCATGCCTATTTTGGATGATCACATCATAATTTGGCTTGATCTAGATAAAGCTCAGCATGAAGTTATGTTAAAATTAAAGAAGACAATTGGTAATTCTATTGAAGTTTTTTATGATATAGACAAAGTCAACAACTATTTATCAACTCTAACGACTGAAACAATATTCTTCATATTGTCGGGTTTCGAATGGGATATAAGGTACGATATAAGTGAATTGTTTTTATCAAATGCGCATTCACCTAGTTATCAATAACTGATATTATCAAAATCCTTGATACAAGATGCCGATAGATGGAGTCAATAGGCGAAAACGTCGGAAAAATCGGAAATTTTCATGGGATTCCACTGTTAGAGTTCTGTAACAAGTAGTTCGATGATTTTCGATAGGATCCAATGGGAATGATTACGATCTCTGCTACAAACTAATCTCACAAATTCATTTTGCGTATCATATATAACATCAAAATCGATGATTTTACTAGTTTTTTTTTCTCATCATGTTCACATAGTTTCAGATTATTTCTCATATAAACAACAAGATATGATAATGAGTTTTGATGAGATTGATTAACAATAATAGTCATATCTAAGTAGTATGAATAAATCGAATAGCAATCATATTGATTGAGAATGTTGGAACGTTCATATGCAGCAACTTTGAAAGTTGTTTGAAATGAACCGAACAATGAAAGGAATAATCATCAGTTCTAAATTTTTGCTGTAAGTAAACACATATGAGGATAAACTCGACAAAAATCAAATCAGAGAAAAAAAGCTTTCAGCGTAATCCCTGTAGGATTAAAACATCGGATGCAGGTATTGAATTATTCAATAATTCATCTCAACAAGAAAAAGGATGAATTATTTGAGAAATAGATCTATAGGTCCTTAAAGGTTGATGACTGTGGGTGCGAGTGACAGTGAGGGTGATGAGTAACTGGAGTCACTGGGTTCGTTGGGTCTAATCAGTCACAATCATTTTGTGATCACCAATTGAATTCTTTCTATTGTTTTGTTCCAGTCAATCATGTGTTTCATTGATTCTAAGCCAACCAATCAGATTCGTTAGAGAAATTTTCCTCAGTCAATCGGCTTTTTCAGGAATTCCGAGTTGACCAATCAGAGTCTTTCGATCGTTTTTCCTCAGTCAATCATATATTAGTGGATTTTAGAATCATGGAATAACAGAACCAGCTAGTACTCTCTTGGATCAGTGTCTCTGTTGTCCTCTGTATATACGAGATGGAATTTTTCTATGAATGATTCGACTGCCGTAGAATGACTATTATGAATCAAGACATCATACTCCAAACACAGACGTATCAGAATATGCAAGCACTCTATGACTAAGAACGTATGTCCCGATCCACAGGTATATCACCGTACATGTAGACTCAATGACACATGTAACTCAATTGATGCATAGAATCATTTCAAACAGAAAAGTGTTGGCATGATGAATTATGAGATCATTTAAATTCTGCATTTCCTCGATTAAAATATGAAACAAGATGGATTCGTCGAACTCGCTAAGCAGAGCTCTAGCTACATGCTTCATTGTGACACTCTGATTGTTTATCAATTCTGTCTGTCATAGTGTGTTTGGGGGGAAGGGTGAGGAAGGAAGTTGAGTTCAATATTCTCGCTATATACTTCAATACTCATTAACAATCGTGTTTTACACATTCTCTTTAAAACCAGAAAAGCCGAAGTCCGAGAAACCCTTAAAACCATATTGTATGTCTGTTCGTCACGGTCTGTGAATGAAGAGGAAGAGGTCTGATCTTCGCGCTACACACTTCAACACTCATTACAAGTCGTGTGTCATGAAATGCAAAAGAAAAACGTTTGCAGCGTAGTCGTCGCGGGTTGAATATGTGAAATACAGCTAAATTGATATAATACGGAAGGAAAACTCTGCATCATTGCCAATTTTCCTACTTCACAAGCTGTGTCAGTTACCATCAGAAAAATATTTGTCGCAGTCTATAAATGAGATCTACAAAACCTTTCGATTCATTGAACATATGACAAGTTTTCCATCAAATTACAGATGTGATAGAAATGTTTCTTATGATGTTTGTTACATTGGTGAGATGGACGGATGGTTAGTATCACTTTTCTCGCAAGGTACTACAACACCCGTTACTAATTGTTTTTTTTACAGAGTATATCTGAAAAGCGCACGCATTAATAGGAGTCAGAGATGAGCACAGGACAGGACAGGACAGTCCTGTTGTCCTAGTACCCTGCCCTATCCTATAGGACAGAACGAGATTTCAATTTTTGTCCTGTCCTGCCGCCTGCCAGGACCGAGATAGCTAGCAGGACAGGACAGGAGAGAAAATCTTGTCCTGTGCTCATCTCTGGTATGAGTATAGTGTTCAAACTGTTTAGGTTTTCTTGAGTATTCTGCGAATCAGCAAGAAGTTTATATGCGTAGCAGGACAATAAAGTTGAGTTCCAAAGTTTTATTTTATCGTAAGCTGTATCAAAAAGGTTTTCTTTTGATAGGAAACATTGAAAATACCAGCGTCGACTTTTTTCGAGCTTTGTCAATCTTTTGTTGATATGATCATTGCGATGACAAAGTACTCTGATGCTCAATATCAGGATATCCCGAATATCACTATTTCATAGCTTTCTCTGTTTCCTATGCAGCGATTTCCGAAAAATTCTCATCCATAATGTAGCTAGGAATGGAAACTGTAATGTTTCATTAGCACGATCAATATAAGACTATATGTATGAATGTCTGAGGTTGAAGTATGTTATGTTACGATTCCAACTTCTAGAGCATCCTTTGGCTGGAATGGTTTAACCTACATTGGAAATAAAAAATTAGAAGAATTTTGGCATCGTTTATTATTGACAATGTCGTCAAAACTCCACATTTATGTTTTGGATACAAGCATAACGGAAGCTAATATCATTTATCCGCTCATTTTCTCACCTAACAAAACACTTAAAAGCCATCAACAAATTTATTACTACATCACAAAAGATGTACTATTTGATCATTTGAAAAATTATTGGTCAACACACGTCATTGTTTTCCTTGATCCTGAATTAAAGATAAATCAATCTGATATGTCATTATTACCATTATCGATGGAATATTTTTCACGATGTGATTTGTGTTTCGATCATATAAGTTCGTTGAAACATCAATCACTAGTTATTTTAGTTGTCGTTTCTTCATTCGCAAGTGTATTTGATCGAATATACTCGGATAAGTATGCACTGTTTATACCACAATTAACATCTATTATTATATTTGATGCATGCTGCACATCAAAACATGATGACTTCGAGCGTCAAGAATTATTGTATTTTATTAACGAAGTCGAATTCGTAAAACAAATACAAAGAGACACTGCAGGTAGTTTTGAACCGACAGAACTATTCTTTTTCGATAACAAAACAAGACAAATGTCATTAAGAAGTTCGAGAAAAGATCAATTTCAGTTATTAACTGATCTTGTAGTCAGTATTGCACCTACTGTTGAAGAAAAAGATGAAATGATGGGAGAATGTTTTTTAAGTTGTTACCAGATCAAAGATAAAGCCGAAGTTTATGGGAATCAATGTCCATATTGCTTTGACGACATTCTTCAAATTCCACCTCTTGTCGATACTTCCGACGATACTCTAATAATGACTCCTTCCACATCACTTCCATTTTTTGCACCCTCATGCTTTAAACCAAATGAAAATAAATTAAAAGATGTGAAAGAATTTTATGAAAGATACAACAAGGATCAAGCAATATTTTGGTATACGCGGGACTCCTTTCTATTCCGTCTATTAAATGAAGCATGCAGAACAGAAGACATCGATAAAATATATGTGTTTCGTTACTATATAAGGGATCTTTATCAGCAGCTATCAATTTTACACAAGGATTATGTTCAATATTTAAAACAGAACGAAACTAATGTGATAACTCTTTATCGTGGTCAAAAAATATCAAATGAAGAGCTCCAAGAACTTCAAAATAACATTGGAAAATCATATTCAACAAATACATTCTTATCAACAACAACAAACATTGAGGTTGCATATATGTTTGCTGGCATTGATATTGATCCTGTACCGAATAGTCCTGAGGAAAATGTTTTAGGAAAGTTACAATCTAGGAAAAAAGAACATTTAGATAATAGCTACGATCAATCTCTTTCTGAAGAAAAATCTTGTGCAATGAGACCGAAACCATCTACAGACAGTGTAGTGTTACCATATGATTCCGTCGCATCTACACAATCAGATATACGTTGCAAGTGTAAATCAGTCATGTTTTCATATATCATCAACATCAATATTCTCACAAAGCCTTATGCAGACATCAGTAAAGAAAGTAATCATGAAATTGAAGATGAAGTATTATTATCAATGGGAACAATTTTTCGATGTGAATCAGTTGAATATTTGATAAACGGAGATTTCTGGCATGTTAAAATGATTATGATAGACGATGATAATGATAATGATGTGGATCATGATTCAAAAAGGCAAATTTTGAATGATATACAACAAAAACCCATACTTTTAATGTTAGGAAAATTTGTTTTGGAAACATCTCACAATTCCGATAAAGCTGAACGTTATTATAGAATGTTCCTTGAGAGCGAAATAATGAGTCCTTGGGATAAATGTGAAGCATACGTTGCTCTTGGTTTAATGTGTAAGAATAAAGGTCAATATGAAATAGCAATCGAATATTTTGAAACAATAATTGACATATGTAAAATACATTCCATTGAAAACGAACATATGAATAGAGAATATATGACTTTATCATATGTAAATATTGCCGAAATTTATACTATTACAGATTTTCAAAAAGCAATTAAAACGTTAAATACAATAATTGAATTACATCTGTATAGTCCCATTGAATTGGCAAAAGTATATAATATGTTAGGTGATATTTATAGAACTAGAACGACTTTATGTAAAATAGCATTAAAATATTATCGACTAGCACATGCAAATGATTCGAAGAACCAAAAATATATCCAAAATATTGAATTAATTCGACAAGAAATCAACAGACCAAGTGAATTTTTGAATGAGTTCTTATGCATTTTGATTTTCTTTACCATTGCCTTTTTCGCCTGGTTTATACTGCATAAAAGTTGGCCACAGTGGTTTCAAGAAACAAGCTCAACCATAAAGATGATTTTCATATCATATTCTATTACATTTACATTAAAATATCTTATCACTATTTTTGATAAAAGAGCTATTTTCAATTTCAAGTTCAGTCAATATATTTTAACAATATGGACATGGTTAATGAATTATTATTTAATTTTTTCGAATTTTTATCATCTTCTACGAATAAATCGATACATTAGTTTACTCAATGCATTGAACATATGTCTATTTCTTGATAATAAACGATTTTATTTTTTAATTTATCTTTTATTATTTAATCCAACATTTATGTCATATTATGTAATGATTATCATTTGTTTACATCGTTCATATTGGATATTTTATCACCAAGATAAATTAAATTTAAGAGATCCAGCACAGATATTTCATGATGGTCGATTTTCATTTTCGCTATGGATCCAAAGTTGCAAAGAATTTTTGTTTTAAATGATTAAATTATTAACAAGAACGAGACAATGATATAAGTTCACAATTTGTAGATCGCTCCATTACTATACTTATCCGATTAGCTAAAACTCTATTATAGTTGCGTACGACTGATTTCCAACAGTTAAAACGCATCCACAAATAGCGCGTTCCAAATCTTTTTTCAAATCTTTAGAGACCCACTTGTTTATAGAAAAATATAATCTCATCGAACTTTCTATCCGTTATATTACAGATATGAGTCATTTGTTGTGTTGGTCTTATGATATGCTTGTACCAATGGTGTGTTTAGGTGTGTGTGTATATATGTGAGTTAAGCGAAGTTCAACACCCACACTTATACACCCGTTGAATTTAGCAGCATTGTTAATGTTTACGTTGAATTATTACCACACAAGCAGGTATTTTCTACAGCAATGTCTTTTGTTGTTGCAGCTATGGCTACACTGAATTCATCTACGACATGTGAAAGGACGTTTTGTAGGACAAAATCGATTAAAACAATAACAGGCCGTACAATTTTTGGTATCCGAATGAGCGATTTATGCGTTTTAGCACTGGAGCATGATTTTAACATCAATTGCGACAAACGCATGGATGATTTCGCTAATTCGCACAGAAAAAGTAGAATTTTATTAAGGTAAATAAATTTCATTAGTCTAATGTGTTGAATTTTGTTTCATGAACCTGCACGACGACACTAACAATATGCTGGATGTGTGTAGTATTGAGTTTACGGTCTGTGTGTCAACAAGTCAGATTATTGTTATTTCTGTTGTTTTATTGGAGAGGAATTTGGAGGAAACTGGACAAGAATAAGAAAACAGTGTAGACTAGTTTTGTAGAGTATCGTTCAGCATCGAAATATAACGAACTCCTAATTATAGTGACAAAAAGTACATATATTTAGAGTCTGCGTATGGTAAGAATTATCTGTTCAAATTACTTTTGTTATAAACTCACATTACAAATAGGAGCACTTTATACTTGTCCTGCTGAAACTATTGCTGAGTATAAGCAATATTTTCTACTCTTTCGGAACTTATCTGTTTATTAGTAAGAAATCTAGTGAGATACTAGTCGTACAGATGTCGGTGGATACAGTTACTCTTATTATCATCGTAACTTTGCTGAATACTGCCATTTACAGTTCAACATGGTACGTAAACAGTCGTACACCGACCGTATCGTTCAACGTTGATAGTCCACATGCTTTAATATGTATTAACATGAGAGTGTGGATGTAGACGAAGAAAGAAAAGATACAGCTATGCTCGAACCTATGGTCACATTACTTACCCACATCCACACCCGACCCAAGATTGATAAGAGAGCATGTGGTCATGCTTTCTCAGATTTATGACAATCACACTCTTATGCACACATTTGTAGTATCAGCAAATAGATAAATTGATTTTAAGGCGTTAGTTTAAGTTGAATGAATTCAAGTATAATACATTGTGACAGATCGGATGTTACAGAAACATAGAGAAAGAACTAGAACTTGGGATATGGTTCTAACGAAATACATTTTTTTTTAAATATTTGAACAAGAATAGAGAATTCGATCCGACCAATGCTCTATACTATACATTGCTCTTCTGATGAATCTCCTTTTAAACATTGTGTTGTGGACTTATGTGTGAAAAATAATGGTACAGAGCAAGATTCGTTTTACACACAGCTCACTTTGGAATAAGTTTATCATAGTGGTGACTGCTCAGTACGATTCAACTAACCCTGAGATAAGTCAAGGCGGTATATCTCTACTCTGGATAACCAGCGTGTACTGTGCCACTATTCGAAGTGAGACAAAACTCATTAATGTCATTCCAATTAAGATCGAACGCTTCGGAGCCTTTAAAATGCAGTGTTAGTGTTGGCATATTGACTAGCCGACCGACAGCATCTAGTTTCATGCTATCGTAACAGACCGATGTCGCTTCGAGTGAATGAAGTGAAAATATTTCGCTTTGAATGAAGACACGCATAACCAATGGATATCTAATCTGT